AAAATTTAAACTGAAGAAAGAGAATGAAAACAGGTCCATTAGAGCCAAAATACAACTCTTGGGTTTATCTCACTTGAATTTAGAGATCTCCTCAAGAACAGATTTGACGCACTGAATGTTAATGAGTGAAGATCAAATGACCTGTAGCATGGCATCAAGGATATCAAACAAGACGACAGCAAAAGGTTATGAAGAGGAAAGAAAGAAAAGACCCACATGGACGTTTGAAACTTGCTCTAAAATGTAAGGGGATGGGGAGAAGTAAAAGGAAGATATGATAAAGAGAGTTGAACATGAAATTTCTGAAAGCAGCTAGACAAAACCATACAAAGTAAGATAATGAAATACACAGAGAGGACTGGAGTTAGAAAACCAAAAGAGAAAAATGCTCTTTACATTTCCCAAGCTGATAGAATTGAAGGAAAAATTCAAGCTTCAAGTTGCAATATAAAAGAATTTTGTGGACAAAATATTGAGCAATGCCAGAACCATCAAAAGTATATTGCATTGAAATTAGGTTAGGGAGAGAACTGTTTAAAAGGGATAAATGAATGGTATTCTTGTCATTACAGAAGTCTAGAGTGAAGGCTGCATAGTGGAGTGGACTTGGGGGGAGGGATTGCATAACAATGAGAGAGTTTTTCTTTTCGAAGAGAAGAATGAATTGAGGGGGGTAGGGGTGGGCAGGAAGAAAAGTGCAACAATGAATGACTGGAAACCCTAAGTCTCTGTAAACTTTTATCTAAATTAATTTAAAAAAATATGAAGTCACCATACCAGAAAAGAATTGGTAATGCTGAACCATTCCAGGAGGTAGCATATGATCAAGAGTGGTATTGCGTAAGACCATTATTGTAAAAAATAGAAGGATAACGATTAAAACATGTATGGGAACTCAAGAGCAGGTGAGGGGGAGCAGAGGGGTGAGGATGGGTAGGGGCGAAACTACACAGTTGCAGTTTGGTGGGTGGAGGGAGGAGGGCAAAGAAAGAGGAAGGAGACGGGCAAAAAGACAGGGTCATGATGGGCATGGTTCAATGGTGATTAATTTATAAAACATCATGCATGAGAATGATTGTATAAAACACAATGTGAATGAAGAAAGAAAAAAAAATCGTACTGAAAGAAGTCCAAGTTGAACTTGAGGCAATGATGAAAAATAAGGAACCAGGAACTGATAGAATAGCAATTGAGATGTTTCAAGAAATAGATGTAGCACTGGATATGCTTATTCATCTAAGCCAAGAAATTCGGACAATATCTGGAAGAGATTCATAATTAGTTCAAAGAAAGGTGGTATACAGAATGAAGAAATCATAGATCAAAATAATTAATATGACATGCAAGCAAAATTTTTCTGAAGACACCAGTTGGAGTAGTAGTACATCAACAGGGAACTGCCAAAAATTCAAGATGGACTCAGAAGAGAACGAGGAATAAGAGTTACCGTTGCTGATTTCAGATGGATTTTGGCTGGAAGGAGAGAAGACCAGATAGATAAACATCTCATATTTTATTGACTCTGCAGGGGTCATAAGAAATTATGGATAACATTGTGCAGAACAGACATTCCAGAACACTTAACTGTGCTAATGGGGAACCTATCCTCGTAATAAGACGTAGTTGTTTAAAAAGAACAAGAGGAAACTGCAGGATTTAAATCAGGAAAATTGAGTTATATCCTTTCATCATATATATATTCAAGCTGTATGCTGAGGAAATAATACAAGAAACTATATTATATGAAGGAGAATAAAGCACCAGAATTGGAGGAAGACTCACTGATAACCTGCTATTGCAGGTTAATACACAGATGATACAACCTTAGAGCTCGAACTGAAGGAGACTTGAAACACTCATGAAGTTTAAAGGGTATAATCTTCAGTCAGGATTACAACTCAATTAAAAAAATAACCAAACTAAAAGTATAATTGTCATAACTGGACCAATAAGCAACACTGTGATACAAGAAGAAAAAATTTGACTTGTCAAGGATTTTGTTTTCTTTAGCTCTACAATCAATGTGGATGCAAGCAGCCCTCAAGAAATGAAACAAAATAATTACTGGAGAAATCTGTTGCAACAGACCTCTGCAAAGTGCTAAAGAGCAAGGATGCTACTTTAAAGACTAAGGGGTGGCTCACTCAAACCATGATATTTTTCAATCACTTCATATGCAGGTAAAAGTAGACAATTCATAAGGAAGCCTGGAAGAAAATTTATGCCTTTGAGTTATGATTCTGGCAAAGACTATTGAATACACTATGGAAAACCAAAAGAACAAACAAATCTGTTTCTGAACAAGTAAAGCCATAATATTCCTCTGAGGAAATTATGACAAGGTTCTATTTCACATACTTTGGGTCTGTTATCATGACGGGCCCATTCCTGAGGAAGACATCATGCTTGGTAAAGTAGTTATTGTATACTGTAGAGTCGGAACTGACCCACAGCTGACTCTACAGAAGATTTTCAGAGGTAGTAGTAAATTGCATGAGAGTTGACTGCCCATCTTTTTCCTACACAGCAGTCTGACAGATTTGAACCATGAGTCTTCAGATTGGCAACACAGCTCCTTACCGTCAAAGTAAAGCAGAGGGGCAGAGAAAAAGAGCACAACTCTCATAAACATGAGTTGACACCTTGGCAGCAATAATGATCCTGAACACAGTACTGACTGTAAAGATGGTGCAGGATTAGGGACTGTTCCATTCTGCTGGGCACAGGGTCACTATGAGTTAGAAGCAGCTTGACAACACCTGGCAATAAAGACGTGGTAATATTTCTGTTCACTTTTCAACCTCAGTTGGGAGTGAAGTCCCCAGGACCTTGCTCTGCTTAATCTAATAAAGAAATAGGACCCAGAAGAACTTCAGTTCTGATTCATTCCAGTCCTAATTCTTCCTCCCTGGTGCAGAAAAATACCCCTATAGTCTCTGCAACAGAAACTCCTTCCCTGTATACTGATTGCATGAAATGTGACATAATTACTTGTGCATTCATTCTCATTCTCATTCTCGCTCTCTCTCTCTCTCCTCCCTTTCCCTCTTCTTCCCCCTCTCCTTTCCTTTCCTCTCCCTTCCTTCCTCCCTCCCTCTCGCTCTCCCTCCCTCTTATTGCTATCAAGTCAGAACTGACTCATAGCTGACCCTCCAGCCAAGTTTCTGAGATTGGAAATAACTCACGAGGAGACTGCCCTCCCTTCTTCCTCAGTGCAGGTGATGTGTTCAAATCTTTGCAACCCCCTAGCTACAGAGCCTCTAAGAGAGTCCAAGATTCAGGGCACCTGCTCCTCCATTTCATTTTATCTTGCCATTGATGGGAGCTGGCCAGTGGTGTCACAACGGGAGTGCAGACTACACCTAGTGACACTATCTGAGGAGATGACACTGGTGACTATCCACAAAATTTCTGTGTAGTGTTCCATCAGAAAATTATTATTCTTACATAAAAAATACCTTTAATTGGTTTTAACAAAACTCCCCATGTTTTTGTCAAGACTAGTATATGTATATATCTATCTATATATGTATATATCTATCTATGTATATATCTGTATCTCTATCTCTATATCTCTCTCTATATATATCTATCTACAAAGCTAAAATTCCATGCTAATGTACTTTTTAAACTTTCTAACTCTGGTGGCTTAGTGATAATAAGGCATTGCACTAGTAACCCAAAGGTATGTGGTTCAAATCCACTGGCTGCTCTGCAGAAGACAGATGGGCAATTTCCTCCCGTGCAATTAACTGCCTCTGAAAACCTGCTGGAGGGGTCAGCTGTGGGTTGGTTCTGACTTGATGGTGCACAACCACCACCACCACCACCACACTGTGCTTCAAGAAGCCCTGGTGGTAGAAAAGATTAAACGTTAGGCTGCCAGCTGAAGAGTTAGTGGTTTGAACCCCCCAGGTCCTCTGAGGGAGAAAGACGAAGTGGTCTCCTCCTGTAAAGATTTACAGCCTCAGAAACCGATGTGAGTCAGAGCTGATTGAGCAGCAGAGGGTCTGGGGTTCACATGCTCCAGTCAGAGCTGTCACGATTATCCAGTTACAGGACGGCTTTGCGTCACGTGGTTTCCTGCGCATGCTCCTCAAACACAAACACAAACCTGCTTCCTTCCCTGTTTTCACAGTGGCTGATTTTGCCAAATTGTCTGGATATTCACAATACTCTAGAGCTATTTGTGAGCCAGCATCAAGAACGTCTCTGAGAACAAAGTAGGAATTAAAGGAAAAGGAGAGAATCAACATAGACTTTTCCTCAGTTATAAATAATATAATTCAGTGTCGCAAGATGTACGAGATCATTTTGTTGTTAGCGTTCATATAATCTAAGGATTATTACACCTGAACAATTTACAGCTCTATGCATTGCAAGCTATTCTGTGACTATAATTGATCACAACATTCCTAAGGGTTCTGCACAGCGTAGCTGGGAAGGCGGCCCACCGGGAAGACTGAGCATGACACAGGAGTTACTACACCGAGAGGCATCAACCCTTTCAACCCTGCAGGAGTTGGCTGGCGAGCTGCCATCTTATTTACTGACTCAGATATAATGTACGTTTCAGAATTAAATTTAAATACCATTGAGATAAACAACATGACCTTTTCAATGTCAGCCTGAAGAGAAGATGACATAGTCAAACTAATGAAAGAATGAGGGCAAAATTAGTTTCTTTTATCAGAGGCTGAAAATGGATTGAACTCTGCTTCCCCAAGAACTATGCCCAAAAAGTTGTCAGCTCCGACAGTTACAATAATTGAATCGATAAAGCGAAAACTTATCATCAGTGGTCTCTTCCCGTATTTACCGAGGTTGACAGTGTGACTGGAAATCTGGGTTTGCGGGCCCACGTGTGACCACAGGCAGACGGATCCAAGTGGGTGCACAGATGCCTGCCCCTCAGAGAACATCCCTCGCAAGCACAGTTGGAGAGGGGCAGAGTGTGTGGGGTGTGGTCACCTGATAGTCAGAAACAACGCTTTACTTACAGCTTTTGGCTTATATGGGGGCTGAATCTCCTTGCGCTCAAGTTTCTCCCAATCAATGTATCGGAAAAATGCATGCTCTTTGATGTCACGTTCACCTTCAGGTCCGCAACCCAGACGTTTGCCCGGGTGTTTGGTCATCAGCTTTAAGAGAAAGAGAGACATGGAATTTTGGAGATTGCAGAAAAGGGTGCATGAGGGACCCCGAGATTATCAGGCAGTAATGCACATGAAATGAGTCCCACTTAATGTGTTGTTGTTGTTTTTCATTCTAGCAAGTCATTTTTCTAGCCAAGATTTTGCAATTACTTATTCATTCATTCCCCTTGAATCACAAATGACTCATACTTGACTCTCCAGTGGGTTTTTAGAGGTTGCAAGTCGCATAGGAGGAGATTTGTCCATCTTTCCCACTCAGAGTTGCTGGTGGATTTGAACCACTAGCCTTTGGGTTAGCAGCGTTAACTCTTTTCCCATTAGGCCAATCCCCTTACCCCGCCACCAATCCCCGAGAGTGACCCCTTCTAGTTTATCAAACCTGAGCCTGAATTTATCAGGTTAGAAATGTTACACATTTTGGTTTAAGAATGAGTTTTAGGAAATTATTTCTACACTTACTGTGCATTTCATGAGAATGGTTTCAAAATCATCACTCTCCCTACCCCTCAGCACAAGAATTGGTTGATCATCCCCAACAAAGGCAAAGGTCATGCTCATTCAGATACATTTCACAAGCGCTTAGCAACACACTTGTGAAAATGACAAAACAGAAGGAAAAAATACTCAGTCAAACAGACCTGGGTTTCAAGCAATTATTTCCTGAAAGCTCATTAAATAGTTAGAACCTAGCCCAGCTCATCTCATCTCCCTTGTACCACATATTATCCTGAGCTCCACTGAGGTTTCTCTGGTGTTCTGTTTAAATTACTTAATTATCAAACACCTCCATCTCTGAGTCTTTGAGCCAGGGCTAAATAACAAGATAAATAGATGCTCCGAGACGGAACAAGCAGGCTTCCTCTTGTAAATGAGCCCAAAGCTGCGAGGCCATCTCTCTGATCTCAAGACTGGGTGAGGAGGGGTAGGGGCGAAACCACAGGGTTGCACGCACAGTTTGGTGGGTGGAGGGAGGGGGGCAAGGGAAAGGGAAGGATCCTGGCGAAATAACAGGGTAGTGATGGGCAAGGTCTAATGGTGCTTAATTTTATAAAGCATAATGCACGAGAGTGATTGTGTGAAATACAATGTGAATGAAGAATAGGGTGAAACACAATGTATACAAACTTTGTAAGCAAACTGATTTAAAAACAGGGGTGGGGGAGGCTATGGTAGAAAAGAAGGAGGGGCTGGTGACTGAAAAAAAGCACAGGCCCAACCACAGGACTTTCAAAAAGGAAACAACAGTGGTTAAGTCCAAGAAGCTTCTCAGGACGGACTTAACATGAAATAGCCCATGACTTCAAAAGCCTTGGTTCGCCCCAGACGTGTCCATCATAAAGAGGCAATGAACCCAACAAGCTCCACGTAGTCGGCTGAACTTGCACTTGGGTCTGATTCCTTCACCAGATATTGTCAACCCTCACCATGCCCCACAAGAGCATGTAGTTTCACATACGCCTGTTCTCACGCAGGGGACAGTGTAATTGGGTAATTAACATCTGGTAAGCCAGCTCCTTTCATTGACATGCATGATCTTACCTGACTCTCAGAATAATTCAATGTACAAGGTACTTCTGTTTTTTCTTGTTTGATTGGCAGAGTAATTGACCCCCAGAGAGGCTTTGCAATTAGCTGGGGCGCACAGAGTCAAGCAGTGGCAGCTCCAAGACAGGATTCCACACTCCTGCTTATCTCTAATATTTGACCTTTTTAGAGAAATGGGAGAGGGCTGTGGCCTGGGCTTGGTTCAGAAAGGTTTGGAAGAGGGACTGGTCACACTAATTGAATTATACTTTGAAACTTGTGTAGGATTAGGCTAGGAGGGGAGAGCGGGCTATGAGTTCTTGATTAGCACTGATATTATTAATACAGTGGTGTACATGTCCTGTCATGTCCTGTATATGTCAGCGAAAGAAAGGAAGACCTTCAACAAGACAGATCAACATGGTGACTCACAATAGGCTCGGGTGTATCAGAGACGGTGAGAATGGCAGAGGACAGGGCACGGTTCAGACTCACTGTTCACAGGGCTTCTGTGAGTTACAGTCAACTCGATGGCATCTAACAACAGCAGCAGCATATGCTCAGGCTCTGAGCCAGAGTGTTCTTGACCATCATGCATATATTATATCTTTAATCTCCACAATTTGGAGCATTTGTTAGTACTGCCATGTTCCAAGTAGTGAAGTAATTTGCCCAAAGGCCCATAGGAAAGTAGGAGAAGTGGCTCTGAAGAGGTCTGCCTGACCCAAGCTCTTGCCTCTCTGCGCTTCAGGTCTCTGCTTGTTTTTTCACTACAGTGTGAGGCCAATTCAGGTGTCTGCCTCCTTTGCGTGCATGCAAAGGGAGAGCGGACCTCTTAGCTAAGCCAGACTAACTATCGGAGGATAGACAATTTTGTGTGCTTTTCTTGCGACAGACACACACAGGACACGTGGAGAGGCAGCTGTTTCCCAAGCCCAGCTCCTTTTCCACTCAGGCAGGAGGATGGCAAGTGAAGAAAAGCTACTGTGGAAGCACCCACTCTCAATGCAGAGGCTCAGCCCCAGCCAGGGCTCCGCTCTGATGTGCCTGAAGCGATATAGACAGCCGGCTTTAATCACTGCGTCAATCTCTGATCACCTCCCAGACGCATCCCCTGGGGGCTGGCTGCTCAAGAGGAAACGTGGCAATTTGCTTAAGCGACTCTCCTTCTGATGAGCATCAAGTCTCGGAAAAGGCATCCACGTTGGACTCAGCCCACTCAAGTCAGAAAATTCCCAGGACTCAATGGTGAGTGAGTTACCCCAGTTAATCCTGAAGGTTATGGGTCCTAAATTAATATAAGTCTGCTCTACCAGGGAAAGTGCTAATTGGAGCTGAAGCTGAATGCAGCTGACCTGGAAAATCCTCTCTCTTCCATGACCCACTTAATGCCCCCAGCTCCCCTGGCAGGGTGGAACTGTGAAGGAGAAGGCAATGAACAAACACTGAGCACCTACTATGTGCCAGCACCATGCAAGGGGTTTTCTTTCACGCTACCTACCTCCTCCGATGCGCTCATGCACTCAGTTATGTAACTATCGCTATGGTTTCATTTTGGGAGCGAAACAGAAACTCAGAGACACAACCTACTTAAGAACATGCAACGAGGAGGGTCAACATTTGTAAGGAGTTTCTCATCTTCCAAAGGCCTCCACTTTATTTATTTTTTTCCCCCACGTCTCTTTTTCAGGCTGAATCTTGTCTTTGCCTGTGCATTGCTGTACAGAGGTTAAGTCGTGGTTTTTGTGATTTTAAACACTGTGACACTGATGTGTCAAATGCGATAATGGTCACCCATGGCGGACAGTGTTTAGTGGAGCTTCCCTATTAAAACAAGCTTGGAAACAGGAGTGGCATCCACTTCCAAAATGGCTTGCCTCTGGAAAGTCTAAGAACAGTGCTCAGGTCTTTCATTCACAGGGTTGCTATGAAGTCATCTATGACTCGATGGCACCGAACAACAACAACAACAAGCCTAGTGGCAAGAAGCTGCACTGCAATCCTGAAGGCACAGGGTTCAGAATCCACCATCTGTCCCGTGGAAGAAGGATGAGTAACCTCTTCCAGTGTGATTTTTCTCCTTCTAAAAACTCACTGGAGGGTCAGCTAAGGGTCAGTTCCGACTTAATGGTACACAACAACAAGTGTATGTGTAACCCAATACTTGCATTTCTGTGTATACATGTCCTAGTGATGGTTAGAACGACACAGGACGAGGATCAGAATGCTTTGTATTCTGTTGGATATCTGGTTTCTCTGAGCTGGAAGTGATTCAGGTGCGTCTAACACCATCATGTGTCACGCAATATTCTTCACATGTACAATTCTATAGCACGGGGCTCAAGTCACTCTCTCACTTTCAAAATTCCCATCACAGGAGAAGTAAACTTGCAAGCCAAAAGAAGTGCCAGCATCAGTCACAATAATAATAGTAATAACAGCCCAAGGGCTTTTGAAAAGAATACCGGTCCCTGTTCTAAGTGTTCCACATTTTAAACTCATTTAATCATCAAAGACCCCAAGGGGTTACTGGTATTCTTCTTCTCTGGACTGATGGAGTTGAGCCACTTCCTGGCTGTGACTGGGTCAGGACTTGGATATGAAGCCCAGTGGAACTGGGCCAGGAGGGGGGTTTTGCATATGGGAGGAGGTACATACCCCTAGACCGGGGCAGTGGCTTCCATTCTGTTGCTTTTCAGGGATGGCAGACAAATATGGCAAGAACTGATTTTTTAAGAGAAGTGAGAAGATGCAGTGTTAATGGGAAGTCTGACATTAAGAATTGGCCATTATTAAATAAATTAAAAGCTCAGCCTGTATCCTCTCCCAGACTCCCGGGAACTACAAAGGCCTGTACTGGCCTTAATCTGTGTTCCATGTCTTCTCCAAGCTTTTGATGAACTCCTATATTTTCCAACTCTCTTCTTCACTTCCACTGTCCTGCACATCAAACCTCAAAAAAACCAAAAAGCAAAAAAAGAAAAGAAAAAGGCTCTTTTCCGTCACCAATTCTTTTCTTTTTTTAAATTTTTTTATTTTATTATTTTTGAGTGTGTGTACCATGAAATCAGATCTGACTGGTACAGGAGGAGATTGCCCCTCCTTCTCCAGCAGAGCATCTGGTGGATTTGAACTGCGAACCTCTGGGATTACAGTGCAGCTTCTTGCTACCAGGCCACTAGAGCTCCCTTAAATAATTTTTTTTTAATTTATATTGGTTTACATACAAAGTTCATACAGTGCGTATATAATGTTTGGGGTTTGGGGTTTTTTTTTTTCTCTTTAAGATGAAGATTGAGATTCATTTAGCCTGTGGCTCCCCTGAGGATATTTATTTGCATTGTGTGCTATGGAGTTGGAAGACAAAGTCTAGGCTATTTGTTAACAGTCAGGAATTTTCAGCAACACCACCAGGTTTTTAGACTGAGAGAGGCTGGCCCAGCTATTACAAACAGCAATGGGGGTGGGGAGAGTCATTGTTCTAGCATTCCTTCACCAGAGCCAGCTCATTCAATGGCTGACTGGGGCTAGTCAGAGCTGGGCTACAGGAAATCCACAATTAACCCTAAGATCTAAGACCAGCAGCCTCGTTAATCGGCCTCACAGGTAGGGACCTATCATGAAAGCACAAGGCTCACCTGTACACTGAATGCTTTATAAAGGCAGCATCCCTGGACCACATTCTCTGGGTGCCACACAGCATCGTCCTTCCACTTAAGGGCACAAAAAGTCTTAACAATCTTGCCAATATAATAATATAACCGAATATAATATGATAATATAACCCAATATAATAATATAACCCAATGCAATAAGCTGATTGCTACCCCAAGAGGTCCTGCAGGACAGAGCAGAACTGTCCCTAGGGTCACCAAGCCTGTAATCTTTACTGAAACAAGCCACCAGACCTGCCTCTCTCTGTGTGGCTGCTGGGTTCGAGGCACTGACCTTCTGGATAGAAGCTGAGCACTTAATTGTTGTGCCACGAGAGCTTCTTGTAATTCCCTAGAAAGTTTTTCAAAAAGTGTCATAAGCTCTTCCATTAAATCACACTGTCAACCTGGCTTGAGAATTACAGGTGTGTTGTTATGTGCCATCAAGTCCGTCCCAGCTCACGGCAACCCTGAAGAACGGAGCACAGTTGTCCCCTGCAGACATCCTAAGACTGTAAATCAAAGGCAGACTGCTACGTCCTTCTGTGGAATCACTGTGAGTTTGAACCCCTGCTCTTTTGATTTGAAGGTGAGTGCTTACTTAACCACTGTGCCATCAAGAGGTCTTCTGTCTCTATAGAATCTTTACAAATTATTCAAACTACCTCACTTGGGAGGTACGTTCAAAGGGAGTGGTTTCCAAGTCACACAGGGGCTTTTCTCCAAAATTCAGCTGGCCAGACTTCATGGTAGAGGTGGGGCAGAGGGATGTACCACCCGATGATGAGGTACATACAGGTCCCCCGGTGGCATCCAAGGGAGGACGACTGACCTCAGTCTTGGGAGTTCTCAGAGAGAGAATGTCCTGGACTAATATCAGATGCATCACAAGCAATTCTTCCCAGGAAGTCTCTGCCCTCTGGTCCTGACACCTGCATTTGCATAAACCACACTCATAAATGTGTGTGACCATTGGCAGCCATTTGGATGGGGAGGGAGGGCTGGGGACTGAATCTGAGCAGGCTTCTCTAGGAATCTCTGGCAGTTCAAATCCACCTGGAGGATCAGCTGTGAGTTGGTCCCAACTCAGTGACAACGGAATTCTTCCTTCTTTGTTCTCCTCACCCAGAAATCCATTACACTTAATATTGTCTAATAAAATTCATCCTAGTAAACAAAATGTTGGATGTTTGAGTTGAACTAGAGACTCTTTGGAACAAAGGCCCTAGCTCTCTACCTATGACAAATCTGCACTCAAAGTCTATGGAACGGAGTTTTGCTCCCAACATGCATGAGGTCACCATGCGTGCATCTATTTGACGGCAATCAGTTTAATGTTCGTGAAACACACTCTGCAGGGATGTCTGGTGGCTTAGTGGTAAGAACAAAGTGCTAACCCAAAGGAACATGGTTCGAATCCACCAGCTACACCAAGGGAGACAAACATTTGCCTTCTGTGCAATTAACTGACTCTAAAAAACCCCTATCAACCATCTGCATTATGCAGATGACACAACCCTCCTTGCTGAAAACTGAGAAGGACGTGAAGCGCTTGCTGCAGAGGGTCAAGGACTGCAGTCAATATGGATTGAGGCTCAATGTCAAGAAGACAAAGATTCTCACCACTGGACCAACTGGCAGCATCAGGATGGATGATGAAGAGATTTAGATTGTTCACGGCTTTAGTCTGCTTGGCTCCACAACCAACACTCTTGGCACCAGCAGCCAGGAAATTAAAAGATGTATTACAATGGGAAAGTCTGCTGTTAGGGACCTCTCCAAAGTACTGAAGAGCAAGGGTGTCTCTCTGGAGACTAAGGAGCGTCTGATACAGGCCATGGTCTTTGCAATCACTTGTTATGTGTCAGAGAGTTGGACAGTGACTAAGGAGGATAGGAGGAGAATTGATGCCTTTGAGCTTTGGTGTTGGAAAAGAGTGCTGAAGGTGCCATGGACTGCTAAGAAAACAAACATATTCATCCTGGAGAGGGTTAAACCAGGCTGCCCCTTGGAGGCAAGGATTCTGAGGCTTCGTCTGACATACTTTGGTCATGTTGTAAGGAGAGACTGGTCCTTGGAGAAGGACATCATGCTTGGGAGAGTGGAGGGCAGGTGCAGGAGGGGAAGGCCCTCGAGGAGATGGAGTGATTTAGTGACTGGGGTAATCGAGATGAGTGTGTCAGAGACAATGAGATTGGCACAGGACAGAGCAGAGTTTAGGGCTGTTGTACATAGGGTCACTATGAGTCACAAGTGACTTGATGGCACATAACAACAACAAACAACAAAAAACCCACTGGAGGGTCAGCTATGAGTTGGCTCTGACTCAACTGTACCTGACAACAAAAACAAAAACAAACACATTAGGCAGAGTAGGGCAGGGCAGAAAGGCTTGGGCCCCAGGCCTCTTGCACCTTTCAGGGCCCCACTCTTTGGCAAAGTCTCTGTGCTTCTACCTCTTTCATCTAAGCATTCCCCTCAGCTAGAGACTGGAGCCCACCAGTCTCGGTGCTTATGTGCAGATTAGAAAAATGCAGCCTTTCTTTTTGGAGCAGCCGCCCCACGCCAGAGCAAGTAGCTTGGCAAGTTGAGTGAGGGCTGGAATCCAGCATCCATTCACCAGCTGGCCAAGCATCCCTGCGCGGATCACAACCCACACCCTGCAGAAACTGTACAAGCTGTCACCGGTGTACTCACCCCTTTGCAGATAGCCACGGCTTCCTTGGACATGGACTTTGGATAAGCCACATTGTGTTCCATGATGGACTGGAAGAGTTCATCTTCATCCTCCCCTTCAAAAGGTGCCTGCAGGGGCAGGAGGACAGAGGAGAGTAAGAAAGATTCTCACCTCAACTCCAATTGTTACAAGGAAGCAGACCCTCCCGGGGGCCCTCACTTGAGGGTGGTTAATTCAGGAGGAGAATGAGAAAAAGTGGTCAACAGGCTGGGGAAATCATGAGCCATGAGAGTCACAGAGGTTCAGGGTTTTAAGCTGATGGATGATCAAGGTGAAGGTTTCTTTTACGATGACATGGATTTGGAGAAGGGTTTGGAAAAGACAAGAAGAGGGACTTTTTAATGAATCACGTGAAATTCAATTACCTGCCCAGCCAACATTTCATACAGTAGGACTCCAAACGCCCACCAATCCACGGATTTCCCATAGGGCTGATAGGCAATTATCTGGAAAGACAGAGACATTTCATCGGAGCTGAGCAGACGTGTGTGGTAGCTGGAGGTGGAATGCACTTGGCAGTGCGAGTGGGGGCAGAATGGGGATGGTGCTGAAGACAGGGCTCTTTCTCCTGTCACTTGCCAATTGGCATTAATCACAGCAGCTGTCTCGGACCCTGAAGCAGGCCAGGGGCTGCAAGAGTGAAGAGGGAACTCACAGTTTACCTGAGCTGCTCCTTCACCTTCTCACGGAATAAGCTACCTGCTGCGGGGGCCAAGACCTGTCTGTGGACCTCACATTGTCTTCTCAACGCACTCAGTGTGAGGTGGTATTTCACATTATTGCAAAAATGCAGGTTATATGACACTTGACAACTCAATGTCTTTTTGCTTGTGTAAGTCAACGCGACTGATTACATCAGTCATGGTGTGCAGACACCTCCAGTGTCCACTGCTGTATTTTCCATCTCCTTCAACAGAGCTCTGTGTAGCTAAACAGAGCTGTGTCCCTCTTTCCCCTGCCCTCCTGCTCCTGGTAAGCTCTTGATTTATAAATGTTGTGTGATTTTGTTTTCCATATAGACATAGTGAATATGACATTTAAAAGCAACATGCCTTAATTTTAATGAAAATATACCCAATATAACTGACACCCTCCTCAGTTTCCAGACATACTGAGCTGTGAGAGTTGCTGTTCATGCCCAGCTTTGTGTCAACATTCATGCTGCTTCTGTGCTACTTGTTTAACTTCCACTAACTTCATCTCCTCCCCGTCCCCTCACCCCCTAGGCTCCCGCTACAACTCATATATGTGCTTACCTTCTGACCTGTTGGTCTTACACTGGTTTTGGATTTATTTATTTTTTTTTTAAGAAAAAGAAATGACACATTAATTACTTAAGAAACTACACATCAATTCTGTGGCCCAATTTTTTCTCTGGTTCTTGGGTTTTCTTTCTTTCTCTTTTGCTCCAGATGAATAAAGACAAACAGTTGTATCTTAGATGATTAAAGAGCTTGATATCCCACAACACAGGTGGTTATGTCATTGTGTTATGTATTGTAAAATGTATCATGACATTGACAAGCTTGTTTTACCTGACCATGACCTTGCGCCTAAACCGAGAAAATGAGGATCAGTGTGTCTAATTAACCTCAGCATCTGTAGTCTTCTTCTCCCTTTTTGTTGTAACTGTTACAAAACTATATATACTCCAAAGTCTCTGTAAATTTTCATTAAAATTAATAATAAAAAAATTGAGGAGAAAATCCCCCCAAACTATATACACCCATTCACCATCCACCCTTTCCTCTATGTACAGCTTACAGGACTGTTATCTTGGTACAACTTATAGGACCGTTACCTCAGTCACAGTGTGAAAACCTCACCTATACGTGGTGCCACCTTTCTTCATTTTTACATAAAAAACTGACTACTACCTAGAGGTGCTTCTCTCTCTGACCCCTACTCTACCCCTTTAAGCACTAATTAAGATTGTTGGGTTGTTACTGTTGTTATGTGCCAAGTAGGAACTGACTCACAGCTGACCCTCCAGCAGGTCTTCAGAGGCAGTAAATCGCATGAGAGGAGACTTTTTTCTTATGGAGCAGCTGGTGGAACTGAACACTGTGCCTTTAGGTTGGCTGTACAATTTTCTCACCACTATACCACCAGAGCTATAGATCTATACCTATTCAAATAACTCCATAAAAGTGAGAAAATAACAATGGGGTTGGGTTTTGTGATTGACATAGTTTGCTTACAGGGCTCCTAGTGTTGCTGCTAACCAAAAGGTTGGCTGTTCAAATTCACCAGCTGCAGAGAGTCCTGGTGGCCTAGTGGTGAGAACCTGCACTGCAATCCTGAAGGCACACAGTTCAAAGCCACCAGTTGCTCCATTGGAGAAGGATCAGCAAATTTACCAGCTCCTTTGAGGGAGAAAGATGGACAGTCTTTTCTCAGAGAGATTTACAGCCTTAGAAACACAAAAGAAGGTTACCATGGGTCAGAATCCACTCAGTGGCTGTAGCCTGATTTTCGCAGGGGGTGGTTAAATAAAATGACAGCATAGAATAAAAATCAGTCATAATTCTTTATCAAGAGAAAAATTATTATTAATATTTGGTCTACTTCCTGAAACAAATTTTTTTGTGAATTCATTTTAAACTCGGAATTTTTCCCCCTAAGCTCCTGTCACGTGGCCAAATGTGGACCTTCACTGAACTGTCTTATTCTGCCCCATCCCCCGACCCCCATTCTCTTAAGAGCTCTGGGGGCCTAGTGGCAAGAAGCTGTGCTGCAATTGTGAAGGCAAGCAGTTCGAGGCCACCAGCTGCTCTGCGGGAGAAGGATAGACAATCTCCTCCCGTGTGATTAACCGTCTCTGGAAACCTGCCGAAGGATCTGCTATTGATCGATTCCAACTCGACAGTGTACAACAACAGCAACATTATCTTTTATGCTAAGTTTTGTACATCCATGTTGTCTGTTTTTACCTTTGCATAAAATTACACTGAAAGAATAGACCAAAATCTATCAATTCTCAACGGGTGAGGCTTCTATTGCTGCAATAGATAACCCTTTAACGGGGTATCTGGCCATCTGTCCAATTATTTCCTTCTGATAAATTTCCAGAAATAGTGCTGGTGGATCAAATGGTAGCAATTGTGAGTTAAGGGGTATTCTTCCTGACAATTTGACACGAGTAGGATTAGAACAGTTATGTGATTGTCCATCTTCCAGTGTGTATGGGATCAAAGGGCTTATAAAATATGTTATTGTTCCATGTCCTTGAGTCAGAGCCAACTTAGAGCTGACACTCGGTGGGTATTTAGAGGCTAAAAATCACACCGGCGGAGACTGTCCATTTTTTCTCCAGTAGAGCAGCTAGTAGATTTGAAGCATGTGCCTTTGGGTTGGGAACACAACTCCTTACCCACTGGGCCACCAGTTACAGATATGATATATAGCGATGACACAGCTGAGAGTTGAAAGTGAGAGAGTCAAGATTTTGAATCTTTACTATTCACCAGCTCTGTGACCTTGGAGAGGTGATTCCATTTTTTAAGCCTTACTCACTGCCTCTTTAGAATGCAGTTAATATATGTTTCCTGGCATTTTGGAGGATGAGATATAACGGGCTTCTCACACATTTTGCCCTCAAAATGCTAGTTACCACTAGAATGTTCTCTAAGTCAGTCCTTGAGGCTTTACACTAGAAAGAGGCTTCAGAAATTTTGACTGTAAAATGAATGTGTTTATCAAACTCCATCTTCCACCTCAGACTCCTACAAAAATCAGAAATATACTCTGAGGGGCACTGACTATGAGAGCCTCGAGAGGCAACTTTCCGCAAGGGCATTTCGCACAGAAAGTATTTTCACACGTTTATACCACATCTTACTTGATTTTCATTGTCAATCCTCTGACAAAGGGAAATGAAACCAAGGGAGGCGGAAGGTATCTTCAGAGGTATGGGAGTTAGTTAATGGCAGAGCAGGATGAACACCTGACCTCAGCTTGTCCTTCCATCCCTGGTGTGCGAGGAGAGGGTCACTTCACTAGAAACACTCTTCCGCCCCTCTCCACGCTCACCAGCCTCACAGCCAACCAGGAGCACGACAAAGCCACAGATATGGGGCCCCTGTGCAAGGGGTCTGGTTCAATCCAGGCTGGGCATATTCAAAAGTTACTTCTGCAGATGCGAAAGTCTCACTACAGTCAAGAACCAGAGATTCTTGAATTCACGACACAGCAAACAACTAAGTCAGAGCTGTGTCTTATATTCTGTTTTGTTGTTGTTGTTGTTAAGTGTTGTCGAGTCGTAGGCAACTCATAGCAACCCTATGAACAAAAGTCCTCAACACTTGGATGACTTTCTTCCCTTCTCCAGGTTCATAGGGTTTCCGGAGGCAAGCTATTATGGAAGTTGATGCCACTCTGATATCCACTCCAACTAATTAAACAAAAGTGTAACAGGCTCAAGTGTACAACAGAGGGGAAAACCATCACGTCTTAACAAAAGGTTGCTTTTCAAATGAGTTACTCATTAATAACTCAAGAAATGCACAAAGTATATTTACCTTGTCGAGAGAATCTACAGAGCACAGACTGAGTTAGCTAGCCATCAACCGTTCTCGTTCGTGGAGGTAATCAGTGTTTTGCCACTGTCCTAACAGACACTGCCTTCCAGCCCTTCGATGCTTTTACATGTCGATACACGAGCTGATAGGAAACACAGAGCCATGTTCTGTGGATTCTTCCCATAACTGGCATCACACTGTATTTATCACTCTGTACCTTGATTTTCTTTCTCTCCGCAATATGTCTTTCTGTTATCTATATGTGTATCTAGCTCGTTCTTTTGAATTCATACCGATTCCATACTAGAAACACATCATGGATCTTTTTTCCCCCCACCACCTTCTGAATGAACATTGTTTCAAGTTAACAATGCAGGTAGATCCTGATTTTTGGAAGGCTGCACAATATTTCCTAATTAGGATAGAGCTTCGTTTAGCTAATTGTCTGTCCCTTTACAGATGGTCATTGAGTTCACTGTCTGCTTTTCATTATGAAAAATATTGTTGCAAGGAGGGGAAAAAACATCCGAAAATACAGCTCTGAACATATGTCCTTCCACCCTTCTCTGCACACGTGTGTGTGTGTGTGTGTGTGTGTGTATGTGTTTATAAACCAGGGGCAGAGAAGTAGCACTGTTTTATTAAGAACACACAGGTTTTACATTGTGTAATAATGTTATTTCATTACCTGGGGCCTTTTTTAACCATTGATACAAATCAAGTGACTAATAGGCGTGCGTGTGTGTGTGTGTGTGCAAATCCTCTAAGATCCATTTCCAAGATTTTCCATAAAAAATGAAATCCAGTAAGAGATTGCAGAATTCCATTCTTCCAAGCATCAAGGATCAATTCAGATAAATAGGAACACTAGTGTTTGGCACACACAGCGGCATCATGAGATGCTGGAAAATCCACCTCTTTGAGGAAGGAACACGAGGCACTCGAATGAAATCTTAATTATGGGGAAAAAAGAATTCAGAGTCCTCCCGAGTTCATGGCAGCTCCTACACACCTCTTAGTGCACAGAGCCTATGTCAGCCCAGGGGATTTCTTTTTCTCCCTCTCTCCTCGGTCTCCCACTTAGCAAACATTTCAATGTCATAATTAGGAGGAGGTATCATATGGCCACGCGCCACAGCAGCTTGACGAAGGCTTTCGTTAGTGTGCGGTGGATGGTTCTTTTTGAGTTTTATTTAAATTCGCTCCCAAACCTTGATGTATTTTTGGCCCGAGCTTCTGGATGTATGTGGAGTTAATTTGCATGTGTGATCTCAAAGGGATGATTTTTCAAGTACAGAATGAGGACCAGCCTGAGATTGTGCTTTCAGAGACCGCCCTCTACCCTTCCCAGCGTTGAGCGCGTCCATCGAGGGACGTCATCATCACAAGGCCATCCGCTCTCACCTCTGGGGCGATGTAGTCTGGGGTGCCACAGAACGTCTTGGTGGTCACCCCGTCCCAGATGTTTTCCTTACACATGCCAAAGTCAGCAATCTTGATGTGCCCCTCGGAGTCCAGCATCACGTTATCGAGTTTTAGGTCACTGCGGCAGACAAGAAGTAGGAAGGATTTAATTAAATGCCCAAATGACTTAATTAAAGGCAACCAGCAGCCACTCATGTACAAAACACTGCACTGGGGTGTTGAAGAAGTCCACATTCTCCTTCTTTCTTTCTTTGTGTCTGTTTCTCTCATACACACACACACATACACAGGAGCTTCATAAAATGAACTGTCATGGACTCGACTCTGACCCATGGAGACCCTCTGTGCATCAGAGTGTAACTGTGTTCCACGGATTTATTTTTTAAGGTAAAATAGTAAAGATAGATTTATTAGAACGTTACATCCCCAAAGGGACAGAACTTCATCTTTGAAAGGAAATATGGAGGAGAGACACCCCACACACACACACAGAGGATTTTTTTTAATGGCTGATTGTTCAGAAGTAAACTGACAGACCTTTTCCTGCGAGGTGCCTCTTAGGGGGACTCAAACCTCTAACCTTTAGATGAGCAGCTGAGTGTTCATCATCTGAACACCCCAGGGGCACAAAAGTAAATATAAACCAGCCCTGACCTTCCAACAGCTTCCAATCTTCCAGGGAGGTAAAAGTGTCCACAACCCTCTATGCTTCCTCCCTACCACCATCCCCAACTATGCTAAGTGTTTCTGAACACATGGTGAGATAGCATCTCTGTGAAAAGGGAAGAGGTACATAGACAGTTAAGCAAAGGGCAGCTTCTCCACAGAGGTTTCCTGCATCCGCATCCCAAGAGCTGACCTTTGCAACTTCAAACCCAAAGCAACCCACTACTGGTGAGTCGATTCTGAGTCTTGGTGTTTCAGAAGCTGCTAATCTTATTGGGAACGGATGATATCATCTTTCTCCAGGGAGCAGCCGGTGGAATCAAACTACTGACCTTTTGGTTAGCAGCCCACCATGTAACCCGTATGCTACCTAGGCTCCTTATCTTTGGTTGTTGTTGCTCTTGATTGCTGTCAAGTCGATGACTATTCATAGCGACCCTATGAACAAAAGACCTGAAATCCTTCTATAGCTATTGTCGTTTCTTCAAGGTCATAAGAGTGTCCAGAGGCATGTGGTTTAGGAAGTGGATGCCATTCCTGCTTACCTTTGGTAGGAATAGAAATCTATTTTTCACAAAATGCTTTCTTCCTGAATATCTCTGAACATCATGAACGAAAACTTATGATTGGCAGAACCTTATTTAACTCCAAATGTTCTAAGCTCCCCTAGGCCAGTTCTTCAGAGCACAAACCAGAAGTTTCCATTGAGTCTTTCAATTAAAAAAAATATTGATTGTGCATCTACTGCATGATAAAGGGCAAAGTGTCTGTTCTGGTGGGCTAGTGGTAAGAAGCTCCACTGTCAACGCAAAGGCGAGCCGTTCAAATCCACCAGCTGCTCCATAGGAGAAAGACGGGCAGTCAACCACCCTGAGATTTACTGCCTTTGAACACCTACTGGAGGGTCAGCCATGGGTGGTTCACACGTGACATCACACGACAACAACTCTGTGACAAGTACCATGTGTGGAGCTGAGTACGAGTAAGAAAAGGCGTGAATAAGATAAACGAGCATCCTTGTTCTGATCAAACTTAAGTATGGAGGAGAAGACAACTGATGAGTGTTCGAATCTATAAGCATGAATGTTATAGATTCTGCTAAGAGACATGATACAAACAAAGATGAGGAGATGAGATCAGCTGTAACAGAAGCAGCCACCTGAAACAGAATACCAGGGAAGACTTCTCTAAGTGAGGGACAGGGGAACTTTAAGCTGAAGGAAACATGGCACTCTCTCAGTATTTTATTTCTTGGGGGGGGTGGGCGCCTTGCACATGCCCACTATACCAAACCACTCCAGTACAAATACACTTCCTCATTCCTGAACACCGATTTCACTGTCAACATGCGATGTCAGAAGTCCCTGATTCCAATAGAAGACAGGAGAGCTGTTTCTGAAGATGTAAGAGGACACTTTGCTCTGTTCAGACCCTTCTCTTAAATCCTCTCGATTCTCAAACTCATTGCTGCTGAGTTGAGACCCACACATATTTGACCCTCTGGTGTGTATTCAGAGGTAGAGGCAGTAAATCACATGGGAAGAGACTGCCCATCGCTCTCTCACAAAACAACTGGTGGATTCAAACCATGTACCTTTGTGTTGACAGCACAATTCCTTACCACTAGGCTAGTGTCCCCAAAATGCGTGTCCACTAGGAAACTCAGAATAAGGTCTTCACAGATATAATAATTAAGGCAACATCCTACTGGATTTAGGACTCATCCTAAATCCACTATGACTGGCATTTTTAGGAGAGAGAGCATACAGAAAGAAAGCCATATAAAGACAAGGCAGAGGTTGGGATGATGTAGCTACCAGTGTAGCTACAAGGGTGACAGGAGCCACCAGGAGCTGGGAAGAGGCAACCAAGACTCTTTTCTAGAACCTTCAGAGAGAGCACGGCCTTGCCTGCCCTTCCATTTTAGACGTCTTTCTGTCATCCCCTCTGAGAGACTAGTTTCCACGATTTAAGCTACCCAGATTATGGTACAGATTTAAGCTACCAGATTACGGAAGCTCTGGTGGCCGAGTGGTTAAGAAGCTGCGCTGCATACCCAAAGGCATGCGGTTCAAATCCACTGGCTGCTCTCTAGGAGAAGGATGGACAATCTCCTTGTGGGAAATTAACTGCTTCTGAAAACCCACTGGAGGGGTCGGTTCCCACTACACGGTACACAATAACAACAACATATGGTACTGTGTGATAGAAGCTAACATGGTCCCACACCCATAAACTACAGCAAGAGACCCAAAGCCACAAGGTCACTCCTAGTCCCCCCAGACCCTAACATCCATGCTTTCTACAGACTAAGCAGAGGCCCCACTTCCAATCCCTGCACACAATGGCTCCTTATCTGCTTGATTTTACTTCTCCACAGCATTTCTCACCCCTGACAGCTTATATATATATATATATTTTTTTTTTTTTTTTTTACTCATTTGGCTCCTCCCTCTAGGAGAATGGAAGCTTCACAGGGGCAGGAGATTTTCTGCTGTGTTCACTGCTGTATTCACATCCTTTAGACAGTGCCTAGTACCTGAGTGGTGCTTAGTTAGCATCTAATGGGCTTCACCTCATGGCCACCTTATATCACATTTATATGGCAGGAACCACTGCCATGACGCTTGAGTCCCGGGACCACAATAGACGTTTAAGTCCATTGTCATAGTTACTATGTCACGCCACTTCACTGAGAATTTCCTCATTTCTGCTGACCCTCCCTTTATCCAACATGATAGCACATCATGGCGTGATATGTGCAGGAAGCACAGATTAGGCTCTTGATAAATATTTATTCAATGAAGGTATGATATGGGCTTTTATGGCTTTCTCTAAAATAGCCCCTTGTCCCTATCCAGAGGGGTTTGGAAATCCCATGAGCCAGCTGGTTAATCTTGCATAACAAAGCAGTCCAAACCCGTGCTGACCACGCCGCTTGTACCCACGGAGCGTGAGCAGGACTGAACGCTCTGGCCTCACTTACAAACGCAGCCCTGGGCTCCACAGCTGGCCTTGCAGAGAACACAGAGTGGAATGACTCATCCAGCTAGGAGCGGAGATGTGCTTCTCTGAAAACGGCCAAATGCCAAGCCCCAAACTTAATCCTGTTTTCCCAGCAAGCTACTCAGAGAGTCACTTCCAAGTTGTAGTTACATACCAAAACAGAAAAAAAAAATTGTTTTATAATAATATGATCATCACATTCTGCCAGCCAAGATTCTCTGCTTGATCCCCAAGTATAGGGGCCCACGGGATAGGAGGAGGGACACTGGGTCCTCAGTGGCGAAACTCTCCAAGAGTGAAAAAAAAAAAGACCATGTTTGAGGAGTCCACAAATCACTGCTGGTGGCAGAGTCTGCAGAGGGTTTAGTGTACCCATACCCACATGAATGCCCAAACTTTGCCAGGGCAGGGGGTGATGCTGCCTGGCCAAACACATGCTCAGGTCAGTTCTAGAGGATTCCTCCCTTATCATGGATTCTAATTTTCTGAATAGTTAGAGAGGAATACAGGGAAATGAGATGAAGAACGGGGCTACTTACCGGTAAATGATGCCCTTGCTCTGTAGGAAGAACAGGCCGATGGCAATTTCTGCAGCATAGAACCTGAGAAAATGGTTGAGAACAAACAACAGAGAAGGTTCAAGGACACTCTTATGTATGGCGAGTCTCAGAATTCAAAATCAGTATGAAGCAGGAGTAGGGCACTGAGATCCCACCGTGGATGGTCAGCCTTGTGTCTCATAAAACACTGAGCAGATGGACGGGTCAGGGTGGTTTTGAGAGCTACACTGCTGTCTTAAGGATAGACAGGGGATAGACAAAGTTTCAGCAGTTGTACAGAGAGAAAGAGGCTACAGGATATGATGGACTGGACAGAATATTATAGTATAATAACAACTAGCATCTGCTAAAAGGTTAACCATGTACCTAGAATTGGTCTAGGCATTCTCTAATTTAGTAACACTTCCAAGTTAGGGTTGATATTGGGCACCATCAAGTCAATGTGACTTATGGAAACTCTATGAACCACAGGTAAAAACTCTGCCCTAACCTGCATTGTCATTAGGATGCCCACCACGCTCACGCCCACTGCTGTAGGCACTGGGTCAATCGATGCCCTCGAGGATCTTCCTTTCCTTCAATGACCCTCTACCTTCCCAAGCATGATGCCCTTTTCCCAAGGACATTCCCAAAGGATGTGAGAGGAAATTTTACCACTCTTGGGTCGGATTCTTACACACCTCATCCTCAAACAAGGAAACTGAGACTTAAGGGGATACAATGATTCAGTCAAGCTAAAAGGCTAATGAATGATAAAGTCAGAAGTAGAAAGAGCATCTGTCTTAAGTGGATGCCCTTAATAAAAGTCCAGAAACATGGAGGTGAAGAGAAAGTGAAGGTCTGGTTATAACATAAAGTTGGCGCCGGTCTTTAGGAAAGTATGTGAAGTGTCTTGACGATGAGGTATCTTGTGTGATAATAGAATTAAAGCCTGTGGGGAATTAGACACTAGAAGTAAAAGAAGAGCCAGCCCTTTGGCTCCATTAGAGTTGTACTGACACAGTGAGGGCTTGAGGAGAAGCACAAGAATGCTAACCCCGCCAGAACCACAGGAGAGAAGGCTCACAAAACGGCTGACCTGCGCAGGGACCAGCAAGCTTCTACGAGGAAGGACTGGGGTTCGTGACAATCCCTGGCAACTTTCTGGCTAGGCAGCAACATCCTGGCAAACACCCAAATAAAAAATGAACCTGTTGCCGTCAAACTGACTCCAATTCATGCTGTTGTTGTTGTTAGGTGCCACTGAGTCGACTGTGACTCCACAGCAACCCCATGAAGAACAGATGCGACCCCATGAAGAACAGATGGGAACCTTGCACTATCCTGCGTCATCCTCAATCCTGGCCATGCTCAAGTCCAACGTCGTAGTCACTATGTCAACATAGCTTGTCGAGGTTCTTCCTCTTTCTCTGAACCTCTCCTTTCCCAGCACTATGTCTCTCTCCAAGGATCCTCTAACTAGTTTGGCACTTGTTATATGTCATTGAGTGCCTGGAACTCATAGCGATCCTATGTACAATAGCTCTGAACTCGGCTCTAGCTTGACCCAGTCTCACTGACTCCAACATGCCTACCTCCATTGACCCGGTTACTGTGTCAGTCCATCGCACCCAGGGTCTTCCTCTCCTGAGCTATCCCTCTACCTTTCCAAGCATGATGTCCTTCTCCAGGGACTGGTCCTTCCCAGCCACATGGCCAATGTATGTGAGAAGAAGCTTCAAAATCCTTGCCTCCAAGGAGCAACTTGGTTTCACCTTCATCAGGATAAAGCTGTTTGAGTTGTTTTTCTCTCTTGGCAGACCATATGAGTTCAATTCTCTCCTCGAGCACCACAACTCAAAGACATTGATTCTTCTTCTGTCATCCTCAGTAACCATCCAGCTCTCTGATGCACAGCATTAATTGCAAAGTCCATAGCCTGAATTAGATACATCTTAGTCCTTAAATTGACATCACTACCCTTTAGCACTCTGGAGAGGTTCCTGACAGCAGACTTCCCCAATGCAATGCATCTTTCGATTTCCTGACTGTTAGTGCTAAGAGTTTTGATTGTGGAGCCAAGCAAGCTATAATTGTTAACAACGTCAATGTCTTCTCTATCTATCATGGTGCTGTCAATTGGCCCAGTGGTGAGAATCTTCGTCTTCTCAGTGTTGAGATGCGATCCATATAGAAAATAACAGTCCTTGACCTTTTACAGCAAACACCTCAGGTCCTCCATAGTTTTGGCAAGCAAAGCTGTATCATCTGTATAACTCAGGTTGTTGATGAGTATTGGGCCAATCCTGATGCCACATTCCTCTTCAAAGTTCAGCTTCCCAAATGATCTGTTCTGCACACAGATTGAAAAGGTATGGAGACAGGATGCATTCCTGGTGCACTCTTTTCTCAATTTTGAACCAGGCAATGTTTCCTTGCTCTGTTCTGAAGACTGCTTCCTGGTCCACATTTAGGTTTCGCATGAGCATAATCAAGTGTTCTGGACTCCCTTTTTCTCAAGGTTAACCACAATCTGTTGTGAGCCACGTAGTCAAATTTCACAGACTAAGCCTTCACATAGTTGATGAAACAATGATAGACATTCTGCTGGTACTCTTTCCTTTTGGCCAAGATCCATGACATTGGTGATAATGTCTCTAGTGTCACAGCCTCTTCTAAATCCAGCTTGTATTTCTTGTAGTTCTCTGTCGATGTACTTTCTGGTCTAATAATTTTTGGATAACCTTCAGTAGGATTTAGCTTTAGTGTGATATTAGTGATACTGTTCAACAATTTCTACACTCTATTGGATCATCTTTATTTGGAATGGGAATGAATATGGATCTCTTCCAGTCAGTTAGCCAGGAAGTTGTCCTCCAGATTGTTTGGCAAACCCTGATAAGCACATCCAGGGCAGCAGCTAACTCATAATGTCTGATACAAAGCAAAACTGCCTCAAAAGGTTTCCAGGGCTCTGACTCTTTGTGGACGCAGACTGTCACATCTTTCTTGGACCTTGCTGGCAGGATAGACTACCAACCTTTTGGCTGGCAGCAAAGTGCTGTAACAGCTATGCCACCAACATAAACACCCTAGGAGAGGTCACTGTGGTTCATTCTTATGATATGTGAATTCTTGTTTGCCAACAAGGTTCTAAGAAGGAGAGTCAGTAGGGAGAGTGATATGATGAGATTTTTTGATCTAAAGAGAGGTTCCTCTGACTTACCTATGGACTGAAGTGGACAGAGGAGAAACAAATTTCAGTTGTAAGACACGTTTGCAAAAATCCACCATGTGTAGCAGGATCTTAACAGCCTACACCTCTCTCTATCTCAGAGCCACAAACCACACCCACAGTGCAACGTCCTCTTCATAGTTTGAGGTTCCTGGAGTGGAAGCATCAAGTAGAATGGGGCACACAGGAAAGAGAGGTTTGCTCACAATCCTGGGTCCGTCTCTCTGTAACTGTGTAATGTCAAATACATTTCCAAACTTCCCAGCTCTTGGTCTCCTGGTTTGTAAAGGGGAGACAAGAACACGGAGCTCCCAGGATCCCAAGGATGTTCTCAGGTCTGTTGTCGTTGTTGTGTACAGCTGAGTTGGAACCGACCCATAGCTGACCCTCCAGTGGGCTTTCAGAGGCAGTAAACTGGACAGAAGGAGACTGGTGGATTCAAACCACATGCGTTTGGGCTGGCAATGCAACTCCTTACCACTAAGTCACCAGAGCTGGGACCATATTTGTTGTTAGGGGCCGGGGGCCTAGTAATCTCTCAATGAATATGGCAAATGAACCAACGCTAACTACAAGTCCCCAAAGAAGCTACAGGGACCCACTTAAGAGACAAGAGAACTGGGTGTGTGTGTGGGGGGGGGCGGAAATCCACTTTCTAGTCTGTGGTAAGAAAGAAGGAAGCAGAAACATTAAGAATATTGTCCTCTTTTGCATGAAGAAGTCCCAGATGTCTAAAATCCCCCTTTGTCTAAACAGTCACAAGCACTAACATGCAGCCCGTTTATCCCAAGGGACGAGGACAGTACAGGGCCCCACGTACACGGCATGCGGCTCCTTAAAGCGGCCAACTTGTTGGATGTGGTACATGAGGTCGCCTCCATTCACATACTCCATCACGAAGTACAGGCGGTCCTGGAAGAAGAGAGAGGGAGCAGGGAAAGCAGCAAGTTCAGTAACCTGTAGTTTCTCAAATGCCAAAGGGAACGCTCAGAATATCTGGAGGTTCTAGTCCACGCTGCGAGACCTTGCTGGCAGGCCCGTATCTGCCAGGCCCGGGGTCTCCCCCAGGGCGACATTTGTGCCAGCGAATGCAGATGCATGCAAGGAAGTGGAGGTGCTGCATGACTAATTGTTTTGAATTAATAGCTGTAAGCTTAAATTAGTTTGTACTGGAAATATAATTAGCACATTCATCCGTGACTTAATGATAGTTTTGTTTAGGATGAGGCTAGTTTTAATAACAATAATTTGCCATCACTCAAAATCGAGTTCTAGTAGCCTAGTGAGTAAAGAGGTGTGCTGGCAACATGAAGGCAGGCAGTTCAAATCCACCAGCTGCTCCGAAGGAGAAAGATGGGCAGTCTCCTTCCCTGAGATTTACTGCCTCTGAAAATTCTCTAGAGTGTCTATGATCTTCTGTGGTGGTTGTTGTGTTTGTAGAGTCAGAAATGACCCATATCTGACCCACCACGGGGTTTTCGGAGGCAGTTAATCACACAGAAGGAGAGTGCCCACCCTTCTCCGACAGAGCAACTGGTGGCCTCGAACTGCAGGAGTTGGGGATTGCAGTACAGCTTCTTACCACTAGGCCACCAGAGCTCCCTATGCCATTTATAGCCTCTGAAAACCTGCTGGAGGGTCAGCTATGGGTCAGTTCTGATTTGACAGCCTGTGGCAACAACAATCATACAGAAGCACAAACGTACTGAGGTCAAGTTAATTAAAACTCATAGAAACCCTCCACTGTGTTTCCCAGGCTACAGATCACAAGGAGAAACTATCCATCTTCCTCTCACCAAACACGGGCAGATTCAACCTGCTGGAGACTCAGCCTTTGGGTTGGCAGCACAATTTGCTACGGACGACACCATCAGATGATGGCCTCATGGTAAGGCGCTGCATTGTCAACTCAAAGGCAAATAGTTCGAATCCACCAGCTACTCCGTGGAAGAAAGATGGGCATTCTCCTCCCCTGCGATTTACAGCCTCTGAAAACTATCTAGAAGGTCTCTTATGGGTCAGTTATGACTGGACAGTACTTAACAGCAGCATCACCAGCATCAGAATACCCTAACTCCCTGTTAGTAAGTACTTGTAGGGGTGGAAGGCTGCTGTGGCGGTGTCCCTGGCTGGTACCATTGGTTAATGTGCTTGGCTCCAAAGGAGGAGGGTGGCAGCTTGAGTCCATACAAAGGCACCTCAGCAGACAAGCCTGGCAATGCACTTCCTAAAAACAAGCCCCTGGAAGCCCCGTGGAGCATGGCTCTACTCTCACACAACATGGTCATCATGGCTGGTGGTTCCACCATGGAGCGGAATTGATGGGTAGGTAGCTGTGGAGGTCAGCGTCCACCATGGCTGCCCAGGGTCTTCCTTCCTGGGGCTCATGTCTTTGTGAAGTTTCTAACCACAGACAAAAGAGCTAACTTCTGTGACTCACAGAATATGACAGAGTGTGATGTGAATATGACAGAGTGTGATGCCAGGGGGACTTGGTGATGAAAGACGTGGCAGCTTCCACCTTGCTGTTTGTGGGGTCACGGAGGGAAACATTGTCCTATCAGGCAGTGTTTTGGAAAGGGCCACGTGGCAATGAGGCCTTCTGTCAGCAGCTACCAAAGCCCACGCACATCAATCAGGGAAAACACCTTGGAAGTAGCTGCGTCAGCCCCAGGCCAGGCTTCCTGTCAGGCATCCCGGCTCCCACTTCACTGGTGACTCCAACCTGGACCTAAACCCCCCTGCTGTAGAGCTCATTCTGGCTCATAATCATTCTACACAGAGCAGAGGTGAACTGCCCCACTGGGGTCCCGATGCTGTAACCTGGACAGAAGCACATTGTCATACTTTTCTCTCATAAAGAGCCTAGTGTGTTTGAATGGCTAACCTTTCCGTCAGCATTTGAGCACTTTAACCACCACACCACTAGAGCTCAAACTCCCCCAACCCTCAAATCACCCAAAAAGTCGCTCTTGAATTCCTGACCCACCTCATGTAGAAGGTAACACATGTTTCCTGACTGGTTACTCAGCAACGAGGAACTAACAAAGTGATAAAGTGAACTCACAGACAAGCCAGTTTGAAAACAGTGTTCTATGAGGACAACTCGAGAAGTAGAAGAATTGGAGTAGAGGAAAAAAAACCCCATGTCCATTCAATGCTCTCCTGCCACCCATCCCACCCCAGTCTCTCAAGAGAGACTGAAAGGCCTTTCCAATCAGAGCCTACAGCCTCCTTCTGTCTGAAAGAAACTATTTCAAACCAGGTGTGGCTGGAAGCACCACAAAGCCAGAGGCCATGTCAAATTCACTTACAGCCCTGCACAAAGCACACAGCACCACACCTGGGCTGAAGTGAGCGCTGGGTGATGCTTCATGAAATGAGGGATTCGGTGATCCTGGAAGGCGGCCGGAGGTGGTGGACCCCGGGGCACTCGCTGCACCAGAAAGCACTGAAGCTCTGGTTCCACACCTTCCAGCTGGGTGGGCTTGGGAAGACCATGTAACATCTGGGAGTTTTAAAAAATCTCTGTTTAGAACATATGAACAGGGAGTGCTGGTGGCCCAGTGGGAAGGAGTTGGCTGGCAACCCAAAAGGTATGTGGTTTGAAGCCACCAGCTTCTCAGCAAAAGAAGGAGGGGCCATCTCTTCCTGTGTGATTAACTGCCTCTATAACGCACCCCCGCCCCTAGGAAGGTCGGCTATGGGTTGGTTCTGATGCAACAGCACACAACAGCAATAACAACGTAGCCAACCACCTTTAACTTTTGAGTGAAGAACAGGCTCAAATAAAAATGTGCAGTGCTACAAACTGCAAATGAAAGTGCTACTCCCATCACCACAGACTGCTTATTTATTTAAGCCCAATCAGTGGTTTTCAAATTGCCAGCTGTGCTCAGTCAACAAAGAACAACTCATCATCACTGCTGAGTCAGAATGAATAACAGACCCGCCAGGGGATTGTCAGAGGTTGGAAATGTGATCGCTGTGATGCTGAACACGGTGACACTGATGTGTCAAATGCAATAACGGTGACCCATGGTGGACAGTGTTTGGTGGAGCTCCACAATCAAAACAAGCTTGGAAGCAGGAGCGGCATCCACTTCTGAAATAGTTTGACTCCGGAAACCCTATGAGCCTGGAGAAACGAAAGTTATACAAGTGTTCAGGTCTTTTGTTCATAGGATCGCTAGAAGTTGTCTATGACTCGACAGCACTTAACAACAACAACAACAACAACAACAAATCATATGGGAGAAAACTATCTATATCCCCCCCGACCCCCAACTCCGAAGAGCAGCTGGTGAATTCGAACCATCTGCCTTTGGGTTGCCAGTGCAAACTCGCCACCAAGACACCAGAGTTCCCTACTGTTGAGTTATAATCAACTTTTTTGTTAGTTTTATTTTTTTTAAAATAAGGACAGTGCGATAAAAATGATTAGAGGCTCTTCACACAGTATCACGATGTCTTAATATGTGAAGCACATGCTTCATTTCTCTAAAGGTATGGCTGGGTCTCAAGGTACAAGGGTTTCTCACATTATTGTGTTGTGAGAGGCTGTCAAGTCCGACCCCACTCATAGTGGCCCTGTGTACAGCAACAGATTGAAATTGGGCCCAATTCTTACAATCTCCACTTTGCTTAAATCCACTGTCTGCAGTCACTGTGTCAATTCATCTCACTGAGGGTCTTTCTCTCCTCCTTGGCTGATTCTCCACTTTTCCAAGCATGATGCTCTTTTCTAAAGACCGGCCCCTCCCAAAGTCTCTTTGGCCTTGCTGCAAAGGGACACTCTGGTTTACGTTCTGGCTCACTGCAGTAAGATGGCCAGCCACTGTGTTGAGCTAAGTGACCAGAGGCATGGGTGATGGGGAAGAAAAGTGTTGGGCACAGGCTTTGAAATGATAGGACTTGCGGTCTATTCCACTACTTAGTCACCAAGTAGCTACTTAACTCCACTAATCTCTATTCTTTTTGTCACATGTAAATTGTCACTGCTGCACCTGCCCTGCAGAACACTTTAAATACACACACACACACACACACACACACACACACATACACACACTCTCTCTCTCTCTCTCCATACACCATGATGGTAACCATTTACCAAATGTTTAAATCACCATTTAAAATTTATCTTCCAAAAAAAATTTCTCTTCCCTACAGTACACAGAATGACAATTTATATGTAACACTAATATGTTCATTTGTCAGAGGTGTATTGAGTAAGGATTAGAATTGTAATTGCCATGATAATGAAATAAAGCGTCTATCTTTGGTGTACTGACAAGGTGATAGGCATTGAGTTAACACAGTTAGTCGTTAACCAAAATGTTGATAAGTAGCTTCAGCCCAGAGCACATGGAGATCTCCTTTGAACCATCACTACCGACAGCCCCACAGAGCACAACTCTCATCTGGCACCCTGGGGCTGTCATGAATTGGAGCTGGTTCTAAGACAAGGAGTTAAGCGGACTGTGTATTGTCTCTCATTTATCTCTCTAAACAAAGCAATATTATTAGTATGAGCATTTTTCTCCTTTCAAAGATGTGAGAGTTGAGATCGAGGAAGTTTAAATAACTTCCAAAGAGCATTCATTCAGCTGGGAAGCTGCAGCCAAGATTTTAATGTTTCTTCCTGTCAGGCTGACTCCAGGGAAGGGAAGGTTACCTCTGACTCCAGAGGTAAAGTTTTGTGCTGGACATTCTACGAGTGAGTGGATGTATCCTTTCAAATTCCTTGTGCAGGTGGGGAGAGAAAAAACAGAGAGACTGAGTTGTACCTCAGGGGAAAAGCTGGCAGGTTGCAGAGGAGAGCCCACCCAGCCCCATTCTCTTTTGGAATGTCAAAGGACTTTCTCAGAGTGGGACTACTTCACCCTCCCACATCCTCAGCGAAGGCAAAG